TGTTTAAAATTCAATTAAGCTGCTTATATTGGGAATTTAGTGGAGACGGGTCATTTTGACCCGGAGGACAAAGGGTGTATACAGAAAATGAGGACAACAGGAGGGTTAAAGAAAACAGTACAGAGCAAAAGTTAGCAACCAACAACAACCACAAGCCTTTTTCCCTGTATCAACCAGGTGCTAAAGAACTTGTAAGTTATTCAATAGATGACAATTTCTCTCTTCAGTTCAGTGTCACAGGGAGGACACGTTTTTTTTTTTGCTCATGTTAAACTTATTACAACATTTTACCACAGTTGGTTCTACTTTACGGCACATTCACGTTGCAGATTTTGATCGCTGGGTAATTAACAGGCTTCTGCCCAATTTGAAGAGTTAATTCAATCACTGAATCAGGTGTGTTGGAGCTGGAAAACCTCTAAAACATGCAGGATAGCGGCCCTCGAGGACTGGAGTTTGACACCCCTGCTCTATGCACTCAAACCCTTCAGAGGGAACATGCATTTTAAGGATACATGGTGCCAGTATTGGGACCAGGCCGGGTCTAGGTTCTATATCTGAGGAGTCAGAGCATCACAGGACCCCCCGGCCTTCTGGGCCTACAAGAAGACAAACCCATGTAGCTCCTCCTCATCCAACAGAGCAGCTGATTTATCTGAGTCATGTTGTTTTATTTTAACGCCCCCAAGCAGAGCGATGACTTTCCTCAAACCTGTCTGAGAATTTTATTGTTTTTGTTTTTATTTGTCAGCTCCTCTGTAATTCTGCCTCCTCAGCCTCCCTTCGATGACATCACCACCCCGACGTGCCTGGTCTTGACGGTTACTGTGGCAACCCGCTCCATCGTTTTCTTGTGACTGACAGCTGCGACGCCCTTCGAGCTGGGAAAGTTTCTGCTCTGTGACTTTATAAGGAGCGTGAAGGAGCGAGCACACACTCGCTCAGCCGTGAGAACGACTGTGACCCACAGTGACTCACACACACACACACACACCTGCTGACCAGACTACCGGTGACGGCTGGTTTCAGTCCCCCTACAACACGCTATGATCTGTTTGTTTCTCTGGTTTCTTGAGCCATCTCCTGCTTGTCTTGATCCTGACTTTAATAAACCAGCCTCTGGGATAATGACTTCATGAAGACGCAGCGAAACTCGTCTCTCACTCAATAAAAACAAGTGTTAGTCTCACTGCGGGTCAGGAAACATAAATATTCTGGTGATCTCCAATGACAGATTCGAGTTCAAATTTTTATTCAAAGCATTAAGAACACTATTTCAGGGCTGTTCAACTGGCGGCCCGAGTGACCAGAGTTCGGTACGCCAATTAGTAATTTTCTACTTTAATTATTTTAAGTTCTTTTAGTTAAAGGGATCCCTGATTAGTTGTAACATTAGACTTTATTTGATAAACATATATTTTAACTGTAAAATAAAGACTTAAAAATACTGTAGGTGGTTTGGTTTTGTAAATTTTTTAAAATATATTTTAACACAGACGGAGCCATTTTATTTACACACAAAGCATTCTGGGTAAATGATGACGTGGATAGGTCCTCGGTGTGAGCGAGCTATATCCACCCTGAAGGTTAATCTTGGACAATATCTGATGATYGACTCTTTTAAATGAAACCAGAGAGCGTTGACAGAGAGGAGAAGGTAGAAATGACTCAGCCTGTAACTGAAAATATGGATGGAGGACAACAGAGCTGCTTCATGGAAGAAGAACCTCAGCTTAGCCTGTTAGTCTTTGCGCTAGTGCTGACGCTATACTGCCTTATTAGCTCAGTGCTAGCGCTACAAACAAACAAGCTAAACTGAGGTCCTCCATCCATAGTTTCAGTTTCAGGCTGAGTCATTTTTGTGTTCCCCTCTCTGTCATGTGGATGGAGGACCTCAATGACGAGAGGAGAATGTGTAGCGCTGAGCTAAGACATATATATGGTGATAGCGGAGCTAATGCTAAAGCTTGGTTTATTTACATAAATTTAATTGCTGGATGTTTGGTCCCTGAGCTGTTGGCCTGCATTAACTGTGGCCCACGGAGCGTTTTAGTTGAATAGCCCTGCTACTTTTTCTACTTCTGACCTTCAAGGGTCGCTACAGCCACTGTAAAAAATGTCCACTGAAATAAGAAATAAATAATAAAAGATTGAGTCAAATCAAGTATTTTAAGAATCTTACCAAGTAAAATTTTCTTACTCCATTGGCAGAAATTTTTGACTTAATTTGAGTCTAATTTTCAGACTAACAAGACAAATAATCTTACACATTCTGAAAACAGGATTATTATTCTTACACAATCCGTTCTTGTTTAGTAAATCAGACAAAACAAGATCAAAAAGACTTTTTGGCTGATATAAAATTTTAAAACTTGGTAAGATGGACAGTTTTTGCAGTGTATTCCTGACAGGTTCTAACAGATCTGTGATTAGTGAAGAAAAAAACATTAAAAGGCCTGAAACTCGGTCAACAGACGTGCATTCCTCTGAGGAAGTAATTCTAGACTTTAATATCATGAGTTTTTGATGATACGAAAACGTGACATGTAATGTGACCAGGAAGTCATGTGTGCCTTGCTTCCCCTGTTTACGTGTCTGTGTGTGCATGTGCAGTGTTTGTTACTTTGTGGGGACCCGTTGCTGCTTACGGACAAAAGTCCAGTCCAGAAATTAATGGAAGTCAGTGTTTGTGCTTCCTGTTTTTAATTAGTGACAAATGAAATGTTTTTTTCCAGAGGAAAGTTGATTATATTTAGTGCCTGTGAGACAGTTTGTCTGCTGGTTGATATGGTTGAAGTTGACCGTACAAGTGTCACAATCCTTATTAACTCAACTCACCTCAGTTTGTTAATAAATTTGTTAAGAAAAACTGATTTTTTAACAGAACTAGCAAAAGGTTAGCTCAAAGAAAAAGATGCAAAAGGTTTATTAATAGAAGAGAGTAGCAAATTGCCAGCTGAAAACTAAATGTGGTAAAAGGCTATCAAAAACTAGCAACAGGCTAGCTAAGAGCTGAACATAGCAAAGTTGAAAAATGAAAAAGCAGTAGAGACGACTAGCTTTAAACTAAAAACATCTAAAGGTTAGCTAAAAGTAGAAGAATAGTAGTACAAGCTTGATAAAAGCCAAACGTGCCAAAAAGCTAGCTAAAACTCAATGTGGTAAAAAGCTACCAAAAACTAGTTGAAAATATAAAATAGCAAAATGCTAGCTAAAAGTTAACAGAAATAGCCTGCTAAAGCTAGGAACTGAAAGGCAGAAAAACTAAAGCTCAGATCTAAACAAGAACAGTAGCTAAAGCCCACTAAATGTAAAATCTTAATGCAGTAAAAGGCTATCCTAGCAAAAGGCTGGCTAAAATAAAAGTAGTTAAAAGCTAAACATAGTAGCAAAATGCAAGCTAGGAGCTAAAAAGCTGAAATATGTTAGTTTCAAACAAAAAAAACCTAAATGTTTACTAAAAGCTAAAATAGAACAATAGCTATAAGTCAACAGCAGCTAAAAGCTAGCTCAAAAACAGCAAAACCCTAGCTAGGAGTTATAAAGCAGCAACAGGCTAGCTTAAAGCTAAAAATGCCAACAAAAAAAGTTTGAAACTACAAAGTAAAATGAAAGTAGCTAGAATTCCACCTAGCTAAAATCTAAAGTAGCAAAAAATAAAATAAAATTTAATTAATTAAAATAACCTAAAACTAGATAAAAGTTAAACAAAAAAGGGTTTGATGAAAGTAGCAAAATGCAAGCTAGGAGCTAAAAA